TTGTTAGGCTCACTCGATTGCAGCGGTTTGTACTTATGCACGTCCCGAAGGAAGAGGATGGTAACAACTTTGGTGTGGCCGTGCAGGGGCAATTCTACTCAAAGTAGTTACATGAGGGATTGTCTTGATCTCGGTCATTGTGGCGATTTGCAGGCTCTCCAAGTACCTCAAGTGGTGCGATGCCATTCAAGATGAGGGGAAGTCGTATCATCATTCCAGGGCAGATAGTAAGTTGATCGGCTGTCATGGGATAGGTATCCGGATCGAACCTCGTGGTCTGCATATGTTCGGATTCACAACACAAACCTTTCAATCAAGGTTTGTGCTGTATATCTTAGGGGTCTCATGTTTTCCTTTCTCAACGATGTCGAGAGCGTTGTGAGTGGCAAAGCCGCTGGATCGATGAGATTGCTGACGGCTGACTTCTATCATTTGCTCAGTTTTACGTCGAATGGAACTGGACGAAAAACTGGAGTTTCGCGAGACTGTCTGCGAGAAGGAGGATAAGGTAGAGCGAATATCTTCTGTGCATGCGTGCATCTGTATAGTTCGCTCACGTTAATGATAACGTTAATGCTTAGGTCACGAAGTCTAAGGCGACTAAGACCGTCGCCAACGTGCCGCATATGGGAGATTTAACCTGGTCGGTTGGTTGGGGAATTTCATGGCGCGTGACGGTATCAAACTCTCTGTAGTTACCTTGCCCGACATGATGCTCTCCAATACTTCACGTTGAAGAACATAATGCAAGGCTTAATCAGCATGTAATCCCTTAGTCCCCTTGCGCGTCTCCTCTCATGGGAATGCCCTCATTGTGCGTTCAGAGGCGTTCAACGTTCAATGAGTTTAGCGCTGCTGGTTGTAGGTATGTACATTGTTATGTGTATGTCAAGAACAACTACGAGAAAGTACGGTGGCCCCGTGGGAGATCTGAAGGCCTCAACATGCATATGTACTGACTCGTTCGTTCCAGCAGCATCTTCGGTCTGTCATCGTCGTCGGCTATAGTAGTCGCGTGAACTAGTCCGGAGTGGCACTAAGAGATACACCCTTTCAATCTGGCTTCACGCGAGAGCTCTTGTATTGCAGTGCCTTAATGGAAAGGACTTACTGGAATTAATTTTGGGTATTTTTTTCTTGTTTCCCCTGGTACATGTCGTCCGAAAGAGAGCAGCTGACACTCGAGGAGGCTCAAGCCGAGTTGGATAAGTTATTGCTTACGTACGATGAGGGTAATTGACGGGTGTTGGGGTAATGTTTATGGCGCAAGTGTGCTAGGATTAGATAACTCAACATGCGTTCTTAACAACTGGTTCTTAAATTATGTTCAATACAGTAGTCATGAAGTATACACTAGGCTAGAAAGGGAGACAAGTATCACAATAGTCCTAAATTACAGGAGACACTCGTGTACAACATTCCCTCACAAAGTGCAAGTAGTCGTTTAAGCGAGGTGGAATTAGCTAGTCTCTTTATTTTGACATGCGCTCACCCGGAGAGGTAGATTGCGGAGAAACTGCCATGGACTGTGTCGTGAACACCCCTGTGGTTTTCATGTTTGTCACCGAAACATTTCAATCGGAGAATGTTGTTCTTCGGCGAGGGTGCCTCGGCCATAGGAAGTCATGTCGGGTTTTGATGATTCCGCATGTCAGT